AAATAGACACTTCTCCAAAGTGGACATACAGAAAGCCAAGAGACATAAAAAAAAAAATGCTCGAAGTCATTAATTATCCAAGAGATGCAAATCAAAACACTAATGAGCTATCACCCCACACCTGTCAGAATGGCTATCATCAACAAATCAAAAAATTACAAATGTTGAAGAGATTGTGGAGAAAAGGGAACCTTAGTACACTGCTGGTGGAATGCAGATTGGTGTAGCCACTGTGGAAAACAGTACGGAGTTTTCTCAAAAAATTAAAAATGGAACTTCCATTTGACCCAGTCATCCCACTTCTAGGAATATATCCTAAGAAACCCGAAACACTCACCAGAAAAAATATATGCACCCCTATGTTCAAAGTAGCACAATTTACAATAGCTAACACTTGGAAACAGCCTAAGTGCCCATCAGCAGATGAGTGGATTAAAAAACTGTGGTCTATCTACACAGTGGAATACTATATGGGAATAAAAAAGAAAGAACTCTAACCATATGCAACAGTATAGATGGACCTGGTGAGTATTATGCTGAGAGAAATAAGCCAGTCAGAGAAAGGTAAGTATCACATGATTTCACTCATATATGGAATCTAATGAACCAAATAAATTGATGATCAAAAATAGACCCAGTCATAGAAGCATGAACAGACTGTTGAACCTCAGAGGGAAGGCAGGGGAGGGTGGGTGGGAAGAGATCAACCAATGAACTTGTATGCATATGTGCATAACCGTGGACACAGACAATGGGGTGGTGAGGACCTGGGGGAGGGGAAGGTAGGGGGCTGGAAAGGGTTAATGGGGGGTAAAAGGAAGACCTAGGCAATGCTTTAAACAATTAAATTTTTAAAAAGGAAAAAACCCACAAAACTCATATAATTTGTTCTGTCATAAAATAAAATAAAAAAGGGAGAAAACCAGACCATAAATGGTAACAGTCTGATCATTTGTTAATGCTGTCCCCTGATAATGTGGCTTTTTGTCTGGTTCTGCACCCCATACCAATGAATCAACTTGGCTGAAACAAGACCACGGCTGGGCGGCAACTGAAATAGCATGTAGTCCTCCTGTGGTAGGTAGTTAGACAGAGCAAAGACGATGGGCCAGTTATAGACGGTCACCAGGGCAGAACGTCCTGGATAGCTAACACTGGGAGAAACTGGTACAGCAAGTATTGGAGATAAGTATTGTTAATGGGGACCTCACCCCTAAGGCATCCTCTGTTCCTCTAGAACAGTGGTTCTCAACCTTCCTAATGCCGCGACCCTTTAATACAGTTCCTCATGTGGTGGTGACCCCCACCATAAAATTATTTTCGTTGCTACTTCATAACTGTAATTTTGCTACTGTTATGAAATGTAATGTAAATATCTGATATGCAGGATGTATTTTCATTGTTACAAATTGAACATAATTAAAACATAGTGATTAATCACAAAAACAATATGTAATTATATATGTGTTTTCCGATGGTCTTCGGCGACCCCTGTGAAAGGGTCGTTTGACCCCCAAAGGGGTCTCGACCCACAGGTTGAGAACCGCTGCTCTAGAATGTCTCCCAGCATGCAGGTCAGATTCTCCCCCCGACCTTCCCTCCCCTGGCATATGGCTAAGTGGTGTGGTAGACCCCCACCCTTAGAGGAGAACAAGGGGGCTGCAGGAAAGCCCTGTCTAACTTTCATACCAGGACAGCAGATGACCCGACAGGCCATGATAGGTCAGCTTTAAGAAGAAAGTATTAACCACACACCCCCCACACCCCCAGCTGCCCAGGGGTTAAAAGGAACCCTAGCCCACACCCTAGAGCAGCTCTTTGAGACGCCCACTGGAAATTTCTCCGTGAGTGTACCTTTTCTTTGCTTGTTTAAGAAATGTTCTCTCTTGAGTTTGGGTCCTGTCTCTGCATTCTTTTCCTACCCAGAGCTAAGTACCGAGGTCTACTTTCTCCGTGGCCCTGGAGGGCTCCTGCGAGGTAAAGCATTGCAAGGCTTGGCTTGCTCTGTGCTGGGCTGAGGACACCTTTACTTGGGTATCAGCCTCATGCAGGCACCAGAGCATAAGTGCTCATAACCATCCCTAATTTACATTACAAAGGTCACACAGCTGTTCCTGAAAAACTTTCCATCTTCCCATCTCCTTTGATTTCTTATTAAGAGTCACAAGAAATATTGCCTTAAAATCCTCTATCAATTATACTGTTTACCTCTGTACTTCCAACAGTGTTATTCAGCTCGTTAAAAACTTGCTTGAGAGCATGTAGTTCTGGATTCTCCAACTTATAGGATGTGACAAATTTTTATGTGGCACTCCTTATTTTTCATGCAGCTTTGTGTTGTAAAACTCATTTTTCATATGTAAGGCAGGATTTCATCATTTCATAATGAAATCCATGTGTGTAACACCACGGATTTCTTAGATAAAATATATTTCTTAGATAAAATATATAAAATAACATGAATAAGTATAACACTGGACTATTTTCTCAGATTTTCAAAAAATAGATTTTTTTAAAAAACTCTAGCAATAGGATTCAATGGAAAATGTTTATAGCTAACTTATATCGCTGGTTATACCATTAACTGCTGGTTCATTGGAAATTACTTAAGAAAGCCCAGGATCTAAGAGTGACCTATAAAACAGGTCATGCACCTTAGCATCCTGAACAATTTTAAGGATGTTTCCTGTGAAATGGTTGCCCAGTATAGTCAATTCTCTATTAAGAGAAGAGCTCTATGGTACAGAGAACCTTTGGAAATTAAAATGTCTACACTTGCCTTTCATCAGGACTATGTTGGACGGTGGTGATTATTCCAACTTTAACAAAAATAAATCCTGCCTGAGCTGAACCCAATGAGGAGTGGATCGTGGTGGAAGCTCCTTCACTCCTCCAGCCCTTAGCTGGGCCCCGGTCAGAGAAACTCATGTCAGTGGACACAGAGCTGATTTCTCTGTCTTCAAGTGTATCACAGCAGCTTGATGAAGACGCATTTCAGAGGGCTCATTGGGAAGTTTTATTTCAAATGCATATCCATGTGGCTGAGCCTTTTACTAGTAGGTCTCCCTTCACCTGTGCAGCTTGTACAGGGCTAGCAGAACTGAGCTGGGTGAGGTCAATAGCTATTACATCAGCCTGCTGGGTTCTACAGTGGATTTCCAGAGTGCTTCAAGTTCTGAAGCAAATTAGACAGGGACCCTGAACTCTGTGAGATGCTGCACATCTTAGCAATAACAAACCTCAGTCCTAGGAGAAACAGTCAACACAAATAACCGGCAAACCTCATCACAAACTCCCTTTCATTTACGCATTACAACTCAGCACTGACTGCTATTGAGGATGCTGCTGCTGCTGACCATGATGACAGCTCACTTTGGTCGGCTGCTTACAATTCCCAGGCAGTACAGCAACCATCTTATATAGACAGGCTTATTTCATTTTAATACCCCTAATCATGGCTACCATTATTTGCCTTATTTTGTAGAGGGATCAACCCAGGAACAGAGAAGATAACATGCCCAATGTTACAGTGCACCGTGGAGGCAAGGTTTAAGCCACAAGGTCTTATTTTGGAGCCTGACCTCTCAGCCATTATGCACCACTTTTTCTTTCTATTACGGTCATGGCCACTGTTGCCACAGTTTATACTTCTACAGGATTTTATAAAATATATAATGAACCTTGAAAATACATCCAGAATTGGAACATTCCTCACTCTATCCCTCAACCTTGATCCAAACTACTACTTCCCTGGATTAAAACAACAGATTTCTGACAGGCCTCCATGCATTTGTTTGGCCTCCTTCCCCTTACAATTTCTTATCACTGCAGCCAGAGGGATTCTTTTTAAAAAAATATATACTTTATTGATTTTTTACAGAGAGGAAGGGAGAGGGATAGAGAGTTAGAAACACCTCCTACTGGGGATGTGCCCACAACCAAGGTACATGCCCATGACCAGAATCGAACCTGGGACCCTTCAGTCTGCAGCCCGACGCTCTATCCACTGAGCCAAACTGGTCAGGGCCAGAGGGATTCTTATAAAAATGAGTGAACTCATGCCCTGACCAGGTGACTCAGTTGTGTTGAGAGTCATCCCATACACCAAAAGGTAGTGGGTTCAATTCTCAATCAGGATGCATACGGAAGGCAACTGATCAATGTTTTTCTCTCACATCAATGTTTCTCTCTCTCTCTCCCCTTCCTCTCTCTAAAAGTTAATGAAAACATATCCTCGGGCAAGAATTAAAAAAAAAAAGAGTCCATATCCATGTTTTGTTCAAAACCATCCAGCCTCACCCTAAGTCCTCCTCATGGCCCACGCCTCACTGAGGTGCACTGAGGGTGCCCCACTCTTCCACCTGAGGGCTCTGCACTTCCTAATCCTCAGGCCGGGCACACAGCTTTCCTCATCTTTCATGGGCTGTGCTCTTGCTTCCTTTAGGGCTTGGTTCAGTTGTCATATTTTCACTGAAGACTTTTCTGATCAATTCTTATGACCCCAGGTACTGCCATCCGACTACTATCTATTCACTTATTTGTTTATTGTTCCCCCCTCCCCCCGCCCCCAATAATGGAATATAACATGGATGAGGCCAGGGGCTGTTTTGGCTGCTGCTGTCTCTCTGGTCCCTAGGACAGCTGGTACTCGGGAAATGTTTGTTAAATAAATAAAAACTTACACCTTCATTATCTCCCCTCATTCTGAAAAAAGTCAGGACATAGGTATTTATTTTCCTGTTTTAAAGATGAATAAATGGAGGTTCAGAGGTAAAGGTCTGGTTAGACAAGGCTTTTAGAGACTCTGAGAACAGACACTGTCCTTACCCAATATCCTAAAAGCAAAACAAAGCAAAGCAACCTCTATTTTAACATATTTTATTTTTCTAGCTGTGGAATTTGTAGACACACTGTAAATTATAAAACAACCTCCCCCCTGCCCCCCACCCCCAAAACAAAACAAAACAAAACAAAACAAAAAAAACAAGACTGGTACTTACTCTGGTTTTTACACTTCGGTCAGTTCCAGCTTCCAACAAGAGTTTAATGCATTCTTTATTTCCATTTTTACAGGCCAGGTATAGAGGTGTCTGTCCTCCATCAGCAGCATGGTTAATGTTAGCATCATATGGAATTAGTAATTCTACACACCTAAACACAAGATTATGATTCATTACACAGAAACTCCGTTTGATTTCTGAAGTGCCACCTGAGATATGAAATATAGATAATGCTAAAGTCATTCTGCATCTATATGTATATAATATATAAATATATGTCATAAATTATTGTGGGTCTTATTATGTAGGATACTGGTTTTTTTTTTTAACAAGGCTAGAAGATATATTTTAATCACAAACTTAATTACTCCCCTGAAAATTTAAAACGGCAACCTTAGTCAAGCGCTGAAACTTGGTTTATGACACTTCGCTGTAACCAACTCGTAACAGTGGAGTCCTTGGAACAGTTTAACTAACTGGGATGAATGATTTAACTGTGCTTGACATATATATTATTTGTGGTTCAAAACAGTTTGAACCTTGAAAAAAAGTAAGGCTGCTGAGTCATTCCGAGATTTTTCACTTGAGAAAATAATTATAAATAGCGCAGACAGCAGGGCACCATGCGCCTCCACTATAAAAAGCAGCAGGGAGGCAGGGAAAATGGTTGCCTGGGGGAAAAGGACAGCAGAGGGTTCCTGTCTCCTGAAGGGGTGCTAGTTTGCAATGAAGAAGACACAGCTAAGCACAAACTCATTGCCCTGAAAATCAAGACGGGAAGAAATGAGGTAAATTCAAGACACCATGGCTCTTACTAACTGGCTAAACACCGAAAGCTTGAGTTTAGAAAATTAGATGACAATAAACTTAGAAGAGAGGACTAAATAAATCATAGTCAAATTAGGAAGCAATTCACATCATCTTAATTTTTTTTTTTTTACTTCAGATGCATGTTTTCTCTTTTTTCTTTAAAATGGAGTTTATTGGGGTGACATTGGATCTGTAATACTTTCATAATAAAGATAAATTTTAAAAAGTACAGGTTTCAAGTGTACAACTCAACAAAATTCATCTGCATACACCACTGTGTGCTCACTGCCCAAAGTCAAGTATCTTTCTGTCCCCTTTGTCCCCCCTTAGCCCACTTCCACCTCCCACCTGCCTTTCTCTCTGGCTATCGCTATACTGTTGTCCGTGTCTATGTGTTTTATATATATGGTGGGGTTTTTTTTTTGCTTAATCCCTTCACCTTCTCTCATCTAGCCCGCAACCCCCCGCCCTCTGACAGCCGTCTGTTCCATGTATCTTGGCTTTCCTTGAAAATGTTTGGTTTATTTATACATATTTGAAAAATAACTTACATACTGATATGTGTGTGTATCTCATGCACATTTAAATTAATCAACCCTAGCGTTCTTCCTTTTTGTAAAGCTATCCATACCTCTATTCCCATGACTGTTATACTATCCAAGTGAGCGGCCCTACAGATTACCTGGTGACAGTAAAGGTAAAGTACAGCCCAGAAGAAATCCCTCTTGGAGGACTCAAGACATACAGAAAATAATAGCAAGACTTATGGTCCTCAATAACTCAGGGTGATAATATGCAGAAAAAATGAAAACTGTATGCTTTAAGGATGCATTTTGAAAAGTTTCCATTTATAATGGATAACATTCGTGTGAACCTTAAAACCTCTATTTCAAGAATTCAGAAATTTGTTAAAGATTTCTATCAGGATAGTTATGTAAAAAGTTGAAAATAGCTTATAATCTCTGCCACCTGCCCTTTCAGCAGAGAGAAAAAACTTAGTTATATTCTATTTTAGTAACATATGACTCAATTTTTTAAATCATTACTATGTTCAACTGCCTTAGTAAGCTAATAAAGGAATCATTGCTGAAGTTATATACATCTTAATTGATAGGTTCTTTTGGTTTTGTGCTCTAATTACTTTCAATATGTAAAGTTTCTGCTTCATTTTTTTAAAAAAAATGATCAGGTAAATAATTGAGATTTAATAATGAATAAATTGCTACTAGAAAGCTAAGATTGTTAAAAATAATATAGATCTATGTTCTACTTTTAATGCGATCATAAGTAAAAAAGCTTCTTTGTTTTGGGGTGGTGAGAATTAGTGAAGAACAAAGTCTAACAGTTCATTTTATTGTTGATATGCTACCAAAAGATTATCTTCTTCAGAATCAAGTCCATTCATGTTTGGACACAGCATATTTCTCCTTCTTCACTCCCCTCATATACAACTCTTCACCAATTATTAAGAAGAGCAAGTTTAGGATCCTACTTTGTGTTTAAATCTTCAAAAATATTTAGTAAGTTTATTTGCCAATTGATTTTAAGCACTAGTTTGCACCTTCAGCCAGAACTAAGATATGTAAGCAAAATATAAAGAATCTCTTTTTATAGTAAAATAAATTAAGAGCATCTCTTACTTGAAATGTCCCTGAGCAGCTGCAGTACACAAGGGTGTAAAGCCATTTCTATCAGCAGCATTGACTTGGGCTTCGGCATTCAGCAGCAATCTCACACAATCTGTGGGTTTTAATAGAAAGCCACTTCAATCCCCCATTTAGAGCATTGGTGAGCCAAATTCTATAAAAGCTATAGACAGGGACTAAATCCAAAGGACCTTTCCCATGCACAGTTCACCTGACAATTCTATCACTTCTATTATGGCGAATGTGAGAGTCCACAGACTGTTTCTGGGGAAAGCAGGCTCTCTTCCCAAAGACTGTAATACCCCAGGCTCACTAAGATGTGACTTTTATTTCCTGTTGGTGCTTTGGGAAGAGTTGCTGAGGAGTGAGAGAACCGTCTGTCGTGTGCCATAAAACACTTTACCAGATTTTCTTACCAGACTATTCCAGAGAATGTTATTGGATAGAGAACAAAATCCATTTACCAAATTGAAATACCATTCTTTATATTTAAATTCTTACTCTGTTTTAATCTTTAAAATGCTCTTGTGTAGTAGTCATCCTACACTTAACTCCATGAATGAGAATACAAGTGAAACCATAGTCACCTGACCCAGGCATAAATAGCATATGGACCTCATGTTCTTCTTGTAATTTACCAGATTTCTCTATATTAAAAAAATTCCCATAGTGCTCTTGAAGTAAAAAATTCCAAAGTACTTTTAAAATAATGAGCTACTCTATCAGCTCACTAGAATCTTCCATTTAATCCACCTGAACACAGTAAAGCTCTGTAGACTTCCAGGGAAGCCGCAAGATCGGAATTACTCCACAACCATGCGGCTTCCATAGGCAATGCTATTTGACTTTGCATGTGCAGTCAAATCATCTTGTTCTCCACTACCTTATGTTTTAGATTATTTGACTATAGGATCGGCATGTTAAGGAACAAAAATGATTGCTAAATTATTTCATCAATATGTCATTTATAGTTGTACAACTTCTCAGCTTTTAAAAAATCCAAGTAACTATAAATTGTTTCAACTTCAGAACAATTTCAGACCCTTGATCCTTCCTAACTACTAAAACTTTCACACACATCAGGTATTTCTAACAGACAAATCAGGGTTATGTTGTCCTGACCAAAATGATCACAGATGGAGGGCTTTATTCTAAAATGTGCTATCCAGTTACTAGACCTAAAATTTCTATCTACACAACACATTTCATTGCATATAAAACAAAGATGACTTTTTTCCTAGCTGCCCCAAATTTTATATTATAGAACTGTACAATTTGGATTTTTAAAAATGTTTACAAAACCTTTAAATCGTGTTAAAAAAAATTATCCACTACCTGCAGGGGAAACTGACACCAAAGTAAACTCTTTGCTCCTGACAGTGGTTCCAAGGGCTTCGACTCTCTATCCTTTTGCAAGTGGGTAGTACAGTGCGGTGATATTATCACTATCTTTACCTGTATGTCCATTCTTAGCAGCAGAATACAAGGCAGAATGGCCATCTTCACAGGAGTAATTAATGTCCAGTCCTTCTTCATTAAGCAGCATTGATAATAAAGTGACATTTCCCTGGGCAGCAACTTGCTGAAGAAGGGTGGGCCTGCCAGCCAGGGGGGCAGGACCACCACTCATTAACAAAGGGGTTAGGGAGGGTGACCAGCCTGTGGGTTAAAGTGAGTCTCGTTAGAGGACAGGAGCAAGGACAAGTGACAGACTTACCCACTCCTTCCTGAGTCACACACACACACAGACATATGAACATGGATTCCTGGAGGATTATGTGGTTTCTAACATTATCAGTCTGTTAATGTTTACTTAGCACCAATCTGTACTGTCATTTCAATTTCATATCTGCTAATTAGGTTAACATGCATGGTCACAAGTTATTTTTAGACATCAGTCTTGCACAGATAAGGGTTAAAGTGGGGATTGGTTTTAGGAAACGAAGATGGCTGTCTCATTTTAAAAGTTCAAATTCATCTTCAAGGTTTCAAAACAACTTGCTTTTTAAAATTACGTACAAATTTCAGTATCAATCTAAAAAGTTAACTGGTATCTTCAGGTACAAGATAGAAATAGTTGTAAGAAACAGAGATTTTTTTTTCTTGACAATGTTTCCAAGGTATTTAATTTTACATAAACCATTGAGATGGACCAAATACTGTCAAGGAACTACTTATACTCCTTGAATTCCCTCATTTAAGAATAAAAATAATGGGGACCAACTACTATTCAATATCAATAGTTAATAGAAGCACTACATATATGACTGGATCTAAAGTATACCACTACAAATAACATAATTTTGAAGACTATATCATCTGGCCATCTTTATAGCATGTGTTCCAGAAAATTTTAAGCAGCCAACAAGACAGGACACTGTAAATATAGATTTAACAAAAAGTTATCATAGTTAGATATTTTTCATCAGTATTTAGCAGCTTTAGGAGAGAATCTGTTAAGTGTGTGAAGACGGCTGCATATAGCATGGAAAATTTTCTGAATTCTTCCTTGATCAAAAAGCTGTAAAAACAGTAAAGTAAAAAAATATTTATTTAATGTGACGTAGAGGTATTTCATGTATTTTTGGCTTAAATACAGTTAACTTTCAGCACACATCATTTTATTTTCTTCCTTATGGAGCCTCAAACACCACTAAGCAATGTTGGTGTGCATATAAAGGCATATGTGCACATTGTCACTCCTCGGGGCATAGTTTCTACAGATATCTGTAACATCCCATGTAGTAACATGTAATAGATGAAGCTTTTCTATTCTTTACACATTGGCATCAGGATACCATTTTTAGGTATATGGGTATTAATTAGATTATTATGTATGTAATATTCAGTCTTTATAGTTGAATCTTAATTACTGGCCTTAAATTATTTCAATAAATATTAAATATCAAATGATTTCTCAATATTTTAAAAATTCTTTGTAATAAACAAAGCAGTTTATACAAATGAAACTAGAACTGCTAATTAAAAGCTGAGCATTATATCTTCCTAATTTATCTGGGTCCATAAATAATTTATTGCTGTTACCCTATTAGATTGCAGTGACATACAGAATTCATATGGTCATAAAATTAAATATTTATCTAAACTTTGTGATATTTTCCCATTGATATTCATTTTCTCTTCTTACAAAAGTAGTATTTTTACTTCATACTTACAAGAAGGCTCCTCTCTGGTACATTTTACCTTGTGTATTTTCTTAAAAACAAACAAAAAACAAGCCCACAAAAATTAAATCAGTACTTATCAGAAATGGATGGCAAACAAAACTTGTAAACACCAAGGTGTTTGACTGCAAAGCAAACACAAAAGCAATATGAAAGCATTGCACTGTGGTCCTCCGTGGAATAGGAGGGAATGTGGCTCACACTCTTTCTCCCTCCCTCCAGCCCTCTTTTCTTTCCTTCCTTCCCTCCCTTTCTCTTTCCCCTTCCTTCCTCCCTCCCTTCCTCCCTTCCTTCCTTCCTTCCTTCTCTCTCTCTCTCTCTTTCTTTCTTTCTTTTTTTCTTCTTTCTCTCTCTCTCTCTCCTCCACCCTTCCTTTCCTTCCTCCCTTCCTCTCTGTATTTCCCTCTAACTCATCCAAGGATTCTTGGTTATTGATATCCCTTTAAGAATATCAACAGGTATCTAATAAATGATTTGCTATTCTTTGGGGATTTGTTTTCATTTTTCCAATACAATTCTAGGCTTGGGGGGAAATTTTAATAACTATATTTTAACTTCTTTATATGGAAATATTCAACTATGGATGTAATTTCCTGGGAAACTCTATATTTAATGAAAAGCTATCCATAAGATAAAATATTTTATTCAAAAATGTTTTCAGCCGAAACCAGTTTGGCTCAGGTATCTAATAAATGATTTGCCTGAACGGTCCCAGGTTCCATTCCGGTCAAGGGCATGTACCTGGGTTGCAGGCACATCCCCAGTGGGAGGTGTGCAGGAGGCAGCTGATCGATGTTTCTCTCTCATCGATGTTTCTAACTCTCTATCTCTCTCCCTTCCTCTCTGTAAAAAATCAATAAAATATATTTTAAAAAATGTTTTCAATCTTTAGACCACTGAAGAGTCTTATAGTCCTATCTCTGTTACACAAAACTGCAGAAAAATATACATTAATTTCCTTATTTTGTTAGAGGTTTGCAGTACATTCAAAAATGATTTACAAAGGAAAATGCTCTATAAATACCAAGTATTGTTAAAGTTTAAATAAATCTTTTGTCTGCACTATCATTTCCAATTTTCTCTAGCACAGACAAACTTAAGTTATTGTAATAAATCCTTCTATAAGCATGGGAAAAATAAAACCTTACCATGATCATTTATTCCTCATTTGAGATTCCCGACAATGATAAAAATGGTAACAGTTACTTGACTTTTTAAGTAATGGTGAAGCAATGATAGGACAGGTCTGCGGTCACACAGTTACTTTAATGATGTTAGAAAAAGGTCATTCAGCTTTGCAGTGCCATGTGCACACATCAGTAACGGTGAGCGTCTGACAGACATGCAGTGACAAGGGGCAGACAGAAGGTGCCATGGCAGAAGGAAGAGTGGAGACCAGCTTCTGGCATCAGCTTCAGGGTGTGGAGAAGGTTAATGTCATAGCTCAGATCAATCTCGTTTTCTGATGTAGACTTTAAGCCAATCATACATGGGGAATAATTTTTAAAATGTATGCTTAAATAAGAAAAAAAATCTGAACCAATAAAATGTAACAAAATTAAAAATATTCCCAAGGGTATGGAAACTCAGCTGCCTGGGGTGGTTTCTGTTTTAGGCTTCTATTTATCTAACAATTAAAATGTGTTCACTTGACAAGTTCATGAGGAACAAGAAAAACTAATTTACTTATACTTTAAAAATATTATTTAAAAAATTAGCATTTGACCATAGAAATTGTTGACAGGGTTAGAGTAGTTTACAAGATATTCATTGAAGTGGTATCTTTTGTCATTGCAAACTTCTCAGTGCTTTGTTAGTCAGAATTCTTTCTCACGGATATAAGCTGACACGGAAACACAGAATTTTAGAGTTTGAAAGATCATGGGATCTAGTGGTTCTCCACGGAGGGAGTGGTAGTGAACTGTTGTTTGAAAATTCAACAGGCAAGTTTAATAAATCTCTGGTTTGGAACTACTATTACTTTTTGGTTCAATGCTTTCATGTTTAGATGGAAAAACTAATGGCTCAGAGTAAATGTGCTCTTTAGAGTGATACGTAGAAAGGGACTAACCCTGCCTTCTTATATGCAGTGTTCTGTCCCCCACTGAAACTGGAGCCCACATCTACCATGCATTTGGCAGGTGTGCTGTCCCCAGGCCCTGCCCTTCCAACCACAACGCATTAGTGGCTGCTTAGAAGATTAATACCCTGCGATGAGCTTAGGCTCTGCCGAGGCAGGAACTCACCCAGGCACAGATGGGTTCAGAAGCAGGATGGAGGGAGCTCTGGTGCTTCCTAGTTACAGTGAGCGGGATGGCAAAAACAGGGGCAATCTAATTGGAAAACAGAGTCAAAATCCTATAGGCTAAGCTACACCCACGGGGGAGTTATGTACCGCCCCACTGCATTATATTAAGATTTCCATTCCCAGAATACACTGCAGGATCAGTAAACGCCGTGCTGAATGACTACCTCCACAGCCTCCATTTCGACTCATAAACCACATCTTCTAATCAAAGGAAATAGAAACCCGTTATCCCACTAAAGGTAAAAACACAGCTCTGAAAATATTTTAGGCAAATTATAGAATCAGAGAACAGAAAATAAGGGACCAGTTTCATGCATTTTCAGTGGCTGCTATTTCTTTAGTTCCCGAATTTATTCTCTAACTCTCTAGACACAGCCAAGGGCATTTTTTAAAATGGGTCCTTTATCTAAAATTCCACTGTATCCTACGCAGGTCATTCTGGTGAATATACAGGGTTGGGTAAGAGTAGTTTTGCAGTTGTTTGCACGGAAATACAATAATTAATAAATTATAATACAAGAATAAACCCTATTTTGCATACTCACAACTATAAACCTACTTTTGCCCAGCCCTGTATCATGGACTAGGAATTCTCTGTCTTTAAATGTTAATTTATAATCCTCCATCGTGGATCCTGGCTTTAAAGCTTATCTACTGAAACCAAAGGCCTTTGCAGCTGAACCCTGCAGCACAGCCATGACAAAAGCAACTACAGGCAAAGCATCAAGGTACAAAGTAAAGACAGCTCTGTATTTTAAAAAATAACTGACAAACTTTATATATCCTAGGAAGTGTTTTCTGTTTTACAGTCTGTGCATTAATGTTGGTAACACTCCACTGTCTGAATGTTTTTGGAACTTCTGTTTTGCGACTGCCTTACAACCATACAGCACATTCTCTGATTTTCCTGAATGGCAGCAAAAATCCCTCCTTTGAGGGAGAGTTTAACTTGTGAGAAACAGCCAACATCATGTCAGGCAAGGAGAAGGCTATCCAGCTGCGTAATACCATTTTGGATAAAATATATATCCAAATATATATGCCCGTAAAGACATCACGAAGTAATACTGTGATTCTAAAGCAAATTTTCAAAAATGCTTTTAGCAACGATATCACTGAAGCAGTAACAGCATCTCTATTTTTCATCACTCATGCTGCTCTAAGCTCAATACTATGCTCCTCACACGTTACATTAAATCCTCCTAATAGCCACCCTCCCCACATCAGTAGCATAAGTTCCAATAAGAAAACTTGCTCAGTTCAAGAACAAGCAACCCAAACCTACAACTGTAAGTAGCAAAGCCCAGATTCCAACACAAATCTGACTGATATCAAAGTCCCTGCTGTTTCTAATTTTGCCCCAAAACATAAGAAGGCAGCTTCTAAAGGAACTTAATTTCAAGGAGACAGTTTGTAATTGTATAGGTAAGTCCTGATGTACTGCTCTCATTCCCTGATGATTACCAACTACCTGTTTTCCTTATTTCCACTCTTCTCCTCAATATTAAATAAAACCTACTTAAAATAAAACTTACTCAAATCTTCCTCTTGAAGTTTCTTCTCATTAGAACAAGTAATCTCTGCTAACCATTAAGATCCTGAGATAGGCAAGACTTCCCCAAAGTTTCAACTGAACTATGAAATTTAACAGTATCTTGGATGCTCATTTACTCGTAAAAACGAATCCAGTTCACGTCAATTAAAACAACAGTGCTTCCTCTAGTACTGTAAAGCAAAAGGGAAAAAACCCAGATCTTTATCAACTTCTTTGTTCAAGAGTCCCATACTGCGTGACTTCAGAAAGCACGTCAGCAGCGGACACCTTCACTAATATAGGCCACATGCTAACCACTTGTGCTCAAGTGTTGGCAGAAGATAGCTCTAAATAAGAGTAAACGACTTTAGAAATAAACTCCTCTTAAATCAGAGACTGATAAACATACACACTCAATTTCTGAGGTTAAAAATAATTAACACCAAGCTTATATTAAAATTTAGAACATACCAATTACAGAACAAATCTAATCCAAGTTGGAGAGTAGTGTTAACAACTACTTGAAGGGATTGCGTTTATGTCATCTCAGAAGCAGTAGAACTGAACACACTGCCTGGTGATGACCCACTGATATTAAAGTCTGTGAGATAAATTTAATAAGAAGGAACAGTCTTTCTTCCCATGGAAATGCTTTCATCTCTCTAATTTTATGGTCTCCTGGTGCTCCAAACCACTACTTTCAGGTTACTAAGAAAAAAGAAAGAAAGCACTTAGCATAACAACACCGCAAGATGAATCACCATACCCTAGAGTCATTAAAAAAAAAGAGGAAAGAAATATATATTAAAAAGTACCAAATTAAAAAAAAGTTCCATGGCAATGTGAAAGAAATTAAGGCAAGAGGGCAGGCCACATTCTTAAAAAGGGTATAACATGGCAATCCCTTTACCTGATGCTGAGGCACCTGTTCTACAGGATGAGGCACTAACAGGGTTTATGGAAGAGCAAAAGGCAATGGTAGTGGGAATGACAAGGGAACGCTCTGAACATGCAGGCTGGTTCAGTCCGGGGGTTTCAGCAGGCCAGGCACCCACCTGAGACGTGGCCAGGGCTGTCGGTGCCACAGTTAAATCTATGGACGGTTTTGGTGGCAGCTGAGGAGAGGAGGATTTAGGGAGATTCTCCTCACTTAGGACCCTGCTCCCTTGCGGTAAACTGGAAGGCGCTGAAGCCACAGTTTTGTTATCCGCTTTGGCGCCAGCACTGGAGGCCCTGCTGCTATCCGTAACAACTTTGAGTTGGGGGTGGGGTGGAGAAGGAGCTTGGGAGAGCCCTGGCTTTTTTGGAGGGATAGGAGGAGGGTTGCCTCTGTCAACTCGTGCTCCACCGGGAGTCTTTACACTGGTCCGACCAACAGGAGGGTAGGTGCCAACATCCCCCACCGGGGGCGCTCCAGGCCTTGGGGGTGCTCCCGCTTGAGGGCCTGTAAATCTTGACAGCGCTTGGGTCACAGTATTCCGAGCCAGTTGTTTGGCCACTAGGTTTTCACGACTTGTAGGAGAGACATCTCTTGATGGAGGACTCTGGGTGGTATTTCCATTTTGGTCTGGGTCATTAGCATTGCCCTGGAACCTAAATCTAGCTGCCTGGACGCGTGGGTTTAGACTTGGATGCAGAGACGCGTTGGCACACGGTGAGTGTAAACTGTGCACAGGCGGAGCTTGCGAATAGCTCTGGGGAGCTGTGCCTAGTGTCTGCAGGGTGGGAGGGGCAGCGTTATTGGGAAGTGGGGTTGTGCTTGTTAAATCTGGTGTTGAACCAGTGCTGGGTCCATTTTCTTCAATTCTATTTGCACTTGGAGATGAGACAGTGGGCAGAGCGGAGCCAATCAAGTCACCTTGGGAAGCCTGCCTGTCAATGCCCGGTCTGACCAAGGTGGCACTGGTGCACACATTCCCTTTCGCACTTGCAGAAACTCGGGGGCTCCCTGTGGAAGGCTTTACAGGCACAGTCAAGGACAACTTCTTCACGTGGTCAGCGCCTTCTGTCGGTAGGTCTGTCTGGCAAGCAACAGATCTTGTCATAGGTCCTTCTGTTCCCACAGATATAGAGGCCAAATGCCTATCTTTCGCCTTCCGGGGGAGAGAGAGGCTTGGTTTGCTGTCAGTTCCCCTTTTCAGCTGCTCAATCATTTTCTTCATCTTGTCTATCTCCTCTTTGAGGTCAGTGGTGTGTGCTTCTTCTCGGTGCAGCTTGGCACGAAGCTGTTCGCGTTCAGTGTCAAACTCAGAAAGCTGTTTTTCCATCTGGGCTTCCATTTCTGTGCTTCTTCGTTTCTCAGCAGAGAGCTCCTCTTCTAATGCACTGGTCCTTTTCTTTTCTTCGTCCAGTTTGGCCATTACTTCTTCTAGCTTTTGGGCCTCATCTATGACTTTGCCGGAGAGCTGTTTGCACTCCTTGACCAGCATCAGGACCACATGCTTGTTCTTGCCTCGCTCTTCCTCCAGGCGGGAGGCCAGCTTCTTGTGCTCTTGCTCAAGGGCTTGTAGCTGAAGCTTTTCCATCTCCAGCTGAAAGAAATTCACAGGACAGCTATATTAATATGCAGAAAACTCTTTTAGCCAAAGAAGTGCTTCTTGTGAGACTTTTCTTAAAATTACATGATTTGGGTTAGCTAAAATACCACATTTTCTAAAGTGTATTGTGATAGGAAACAAATATTTTAGACTCATTAAAATGAGAAAATAAATGTAACTAATTTTATGAAAACATCTAAGTTACACCAGCAGAGAATTTTCTTAATCTACTAAAGTTAACTATAAAAGAGAATAGTAATCTCATCCTTCAGTTCACAGCACAGAGTTCAGTACTTTCTGTTTTTGTAAAATCAGAGCTCTGTAAGGGAACTACTTTTTTAAAGGTTTAATGCTTTAAAATCACTAACTAATCGCTGAGGTACAATATAATAAGAAGTGCCAGTAAATAAATATTCAGCTCCTCTATTTGCCAACTGTATTAGCATTTTTTTAAACTTTGAGGTTCTTGCGATGGATTGCTATAGAAATCACATAAAATTATATATGAAAGTTTTTTGAAAACTACAAAGAGCTAAAGAAATATCTTATTAGAATTATAATCAATATCAGTGAACCCAAAAGTCTGACCCCATCTCCTACGTCAGCCTCACTTGCTCACTTAGCTCCCACTCTATTGGCTTCCTTTGAGTTTCTTGAACACTCATAACCGTGGTCTTGTCTCAGGGTCTTTGACTTTGCTGTTCCCTCTGCCTAGAATGCCAATGCACACCTTCATGTAGGGTTCCTGCACTAGGCAGTGACCAAAAGGAGAGAATGGCTCACTGCCCAGCGAGGGCCTGGCATGTTATTTATTTACTTTGGATGTTTCCTGCTTTGAAGAAGTTAAGTAACATTGCAATGGGTCCTATGAATAGGTGAAATAGGTGATCGGGAATACACATAATTCTCCAAGAATAATTAGAGACTATTGTTTATTCACACACACTCTATTCTACTGTATAAAATTTGTAGGGGTGACTTTATAAGTAGATTAGGTAAGATCTGGAGAACAACAGTACTGTAAACCATATTTACAGGCATGTTTTAGTCATCATAAAAAATAACATTTATAGTTAAAGCTATGGTGTAGCATTTACCTTTTCTAAATGCATCAAATAATAGGTTGCTATGGAAGGCATACACAAAATTAGAATGAGAAAGTTTAAAATATATTTTATATTAGCACCCCTCCCCAATTCTTATAACAATGTAGAAAAAAGCAGAAACTAGGTCAGTTTTCAGCTTATTTTTAAAATATGAGTTTCATAGTTTAGCTCTGAAGGTAGAAAAATGATGTCTTGCAGAACTCTAAGGGCTACCTTCATTTTACAAAACTACCTATTGGCTAAATTAGTGACTTTCCTGATGTTATCCAGTTAATCAGTGTCAGAATCAAGACACTCACTCGGGGTTCCACTTGTCTCAAGCTTTTCTCACCTTATCACACATCTTGCCCACAGAATTTCTTTACTATGGATCAATCACACTTCATTTTTGAAATGATAACTTTCATCTTATACTTCAAATCCAATTGAAGACTGACTTCCAACAGAAGATTAACTCAACTTATCTCAGATATTTATACAGAAAACTGTAAGTCTCCCATAATTCATTTGTATTTTTGTCCTGCCATCATTCGTGCCTTATGAATTCTATCTCAGACTAACATGGGTCTTTTAAAATCTTATCACAGATAGCAGAACACAGAGTAAACTACATAACTGAGGTGCCTGCAGAGACATGACTCCAAATTCATTTGCACTTTGAACCCCAATCATCAATTACTCTATCTACCTTTGTTTAGCTTCCTCTACAATTTACCTCATTCATGGGATAAACTTCTGCAACTCTCTCCAAAACTTCAACCAATGATCAGTCTATCCTAATAGATTATTTTAACAGGAAAATTCAGACTAATATACCTCTTCTGTATTCATTTTTTAAAATATATTTATTGTTGAGAGTATTACAGATTTCCCCGTGTTTCCCTCCACTGCCCTCCTCCATCCAGATCCTGCTTCTTCCTTCCCCTTCCCTTTTCCTTTCCCTTCTTCTTCTGCTTAAAGAAGACCCTTCAACATTTCACGTAATACTGGTTTGGTGGTGATGAACTCCTTTAGCTTTTTTTTTTATCTATGAAGCTCTTTATCTGACCTTCAATTCTAAATGATAGCTTTGCTGGGTAATCTTGGTTGTAGGTCCTTGCTTTTCATCACTGAATATTTCTTACCACTTGCTTCTGGCCTGCAATGTTTCTGTTGAGAAACAAGCTAACAGTCATATGGGCTCTCCCTTGTAGGTAAATACTAGTAACTGCTTTTCTCTTGCTGCTCCTATGATTCTCTCTTTGTCTTTAACCTTTGGAATTTTAATTATGATGTGTCCTATTGTGGGGTCTTTTTAGGTTCATCTTGTTTGGAACTCTCTGTACTTCCTGAACTTGTAAGTCTATTTTTATCACCAGGTCGGGAAAGTTTTCTGTCATTATTTCTTCAAATAGATGTTCAACTTCTTACTCTCTCTCTCTTCTCCTTCTGGCACCTGAATGATGTTAATGTTGGTATGCCTGAAGCTGTCCCAGAGGCTCCTTACACTATCTTTATATTTTTGGATTCTATTTAATTTTTGCTATTGTGATTGGGTGTTTTTTGCTTCCTTATATTCCAAATCGCTAATTTGATTCTCAGCATCCTCTGCTCTTCTGTTGATTTCCTATAAATTATTCATTTCAGCCAGTGAATCCTTAATTCCTGACTGGTCCCTTTTTATGTGTTTGATGTTCTAAGTGCCATGACATTCTCACTAAGTTCCTTGACATTCTCAGTAAGTTCCTTGAAGCTCTCATTAAGTTCCTTGAACATCATTATAACCATTGTTTTGAATTCTGTATGTAGTGGTTTGTTTGCTTCCATCTCATTCAGTTCTTTTTCTGGATATTTTGTCTTTTTTTTCATTTATCTTTTTCTTTACATTCTGGCTGCTTCTCTGTGTTTGTTTCAATGTATTAAGTAGCTGCTACATCTCCAAATTTCGTAGAGTGGCTCTGTGTAGAAGGTGTCCTGTAGGGCCCAATGGCTCAGCCTCCCCAGTCTCCTGAGCTAGGCACTCTAGGTGCGCCCCTATGTGGGCTGTGTGCACTATCCTGTTGTAGTTGAGCCTTGATTGCTGTTGGCATCACTGGGAGGGATTGACCCCCAGGCCAGCTGGCTATGAAGACTAGCTGTGGCTACAGCAGAAGACACCTTATGGCACAGGACTTGCTTCAGTGGGGCTTGGTTGCTCACTAAGTTCTTCCCTTGAGTGTGTCACTCATGAATGTGGTAGAGTTGTAATCTGGCATTGTCTGAAGCTGTCCACCAGGTGCACTGGCTCTGCGGCCTCCTGGGAGGTGCAAAGTCAGCTACTGCCTGTGCTCTCATTGGGGCCACCTGGCTTGAGCTACTGAACGATCTGCAGATGGCTGTTACTTGTGTTGGGCTTGGAGGTGCCCAGGAGAGGCCAAGCTGTGAACCAAGGCATGCTGCTGCTAGTGCGGGGCCTGGGGCCACTTATCTAGAGGTATGGGGCAAGCTGAGTCCAGCTCTACTTTTTTGAGAGATTTTAGGAGTCTGAATCCTAAGATAGGACAGGCCATTCATATGGAAAAACCACGGAAAACAACTTGGGTGCAGCTACAAACTAGGTTGGACAGAATCTCAGGTAATCCCCAGGGCAGGGTGAACACTGTGGGTCAGCTTGATGGAGTGTCAGATATGGCGCCAGCCAGTCAGCTCTGTGAGGGGTAGGAGATCTCACTAGAGGAACAATGACCTCTGTCAGTCCTTTCGTCTGGGAGAAAGCTGTTCCACAGGTCTTGCCCTGATGCTAGACAATTTAGATCCTCACTGTATGACCCTGGATCAGCCGTGGGCAAACTACGGCCCGCGGGCCAGATCCGGCCCGTTTGAAATGAATAAAACTAAAAAAAAAAAGACCGTACCCTTTTATGTAATGATGTTTACTTTGAATTTATATTAGTTCACACAAACACTCCATCCATGCTTTTGTTCCGGCCCTCCGGTCCAGTTTAAGAACCCATTGTGGCCCTCGAGTCAAAAAGTTTGCCCACCCCTGCCCTGGATCCTTTCAAGCTGCTGCCCCAGGACTGGAGCTCAGAGGGAGTGATTCCAAGTACATTTGTGCTCGGGCCCTATAAGAGGAACTGCCTGGGTTTCCAGCTGCCTCCATGTCACTCTGCCACAATCCCCGCTGGTTTTTACAGCATGATGTTACAAGGACTTCTCTTCCCGGCACTGGAACTCAGGGCTGACTGTTCTGGTGTGGGGCTGGGACCCCTTGCTCCTCACAGGAAGCCTCCTCAGCCAAGATACCCGTCCCAATAAAAAAACATGCCACATCTGGGAGTCAGATCAACCCTTTCCACACCTCTGTACCTCCTACCAGTCTCAGTGTAGTTCCTTCTTTAATTATTAGAGGCCTGGTCCATGGATTCGTGCACATTGAAAGGAAAATAATTAGAAGGTGGCTGGCAAGGTGGGACTGGGCAAAATGGGCCAGACACGCCCTGGAGCCAACCTCCCTTGGCCGGCTGCATCTGGGGCAGTTCAGGGGCTCGAAGGGCATTTGTGGAGTGAGCGGGGTTCCTCTGGCAGGTGGGGTCCCTCGGCCTGGCCTGGGGGGATTGGACTGAAACTGGCAGTCCGACATCCCCCGAGGGGTCCTGGAGTGCAAGAGGGCACTCTGCAAAGTAGCTGTCACTTGGCAGCTCCTGTGTTGAGCGTCTGCCCCCTCACAGTCAGTGCGCATCATACCTACTAGCTGGTCAGCCTGTTGGCCGGTCACTTAGGGCTTCCATTCAGTCAGATTTCAGGTAGTTCTTTTTTTTTTAATATATATTTTATTTATTTTTTGCAGAGAGGAAGGAAAGGGATAGAGAGTTAGAAACATCAATGAGAGAGGAACATTGATCAGCTGCCTCCTGCACACCTCCCACT